GTCCTTCATAAAGCAGAGGGCTCAGAAGGCAGCTGTCTACCTACCCCCGTGATTTGCTTACCCCTTCCATCAAGAAAAAATAGGATTAACAGTTGTCCTGCCCCCACCTTCCACCTAGTGACCTGGAAACAGGAAACTCGTGTATATCCCATAACGTCTGATTGGGCCCCTGTCTGGCTTTGGGGTGACAGTCAGGTCCGGGGCATGTGCATGTGTGAGCCTGGCCGTCTCAGGAGGAGCCCTGGGGGTGTCCTGGGGGTGGTCGGGTCCTTGTTCCTCCCTTGGAGTTTCCCCTCTGGACCCCTCAGTGCAGAGATGCAATAACAATGCTGAACTTCGAAAGAAGTCCCTGATCCTTTCCTCTGGGACCGCCCCGTCCCCGTAGCTCCTGCATCCAGCCCGCGGACGAGGCCCCCTTCCCAGCATGACGGGGCCCCTTCCACACAAGACCTGCCCTGACCGCCTCCACACCACGTGGAGCCATCCGTACAGGGCCACGTCACATGCAGGACCCCCACATGGCCACTTTTACAAACAATTATTACTTTTTATTGAGGTGAAATCCACATAACGGAATGTTCGCCATTTTACAGTGAACAACCGGGTCAGCGCCTCAGCGCCATGGCCACCACCTCTGTCTAGTTCCCAGGTAGTTTCTTCTGTGCCCCGGGGCAGCTGGCCCGAGATGTCAGTCTGCTGCTGCCTGAATCGCTAATGTATGAAGGTTTCCGGCGCCGGCTGAGGAAACACTGGAACAAATTCCAGGCTCTTGTGGAGCAGACAGGATCCAGGATAAACAGTAGCAGTCTGGGAAGTCGGCGCTAAACGTGTCTTACGGGCAAAGCTTTTACTGTAAGTTGACGTGGGGGCGGCCTCCTCCACAGTCCCTCGGAGTCCAGCCTGGGGCGGGAGGCGCCCGTGCCCGCTGGCATCTGGTCTCCAGCCGCGGGGGTGGCAGGGCTCCGGGTGCGATCCCGCGCACCAGAAGCCAGGATTGTTCTGGGACCAAGGCCCCAGAGCCCTCAGCTCTGTATCTTGGTGTCTGATGCGCAGAACGGACAGGGTGACAGTGTAGCTCTGCCCTCAGGCACTGGGCTGGGGAGGGCTGCAGTGGTGCCACACCGCTGGGAGACACACAAGGCAAGGAGGCTGGGAAGGCTGGTGAGCATGCGAGGGGCCTGCAGAGCTGCCTGGAGCAGGGCCAGGAGGGACCTGGGTGCAGAAGTGTCCCAGGGAGAGGGAGCGGCAGACCCTGCAGGGGAGGGGTGCGGCCGGGATGCCAGCTGAGGACAGACCCTCTCCCCAGGCTCCCTGCAGCCCTGGCAGCCGCCTGGGACACCGAGAAGCTGCCCTCCACCGCGGGAGACCGAGCTGGGGCACCAGGGCTCCGAGAGGGCTCAGGCACAGACGCCCGTCCATGGGGCTACTGCCGGCCCTGACTGGGTGGGGTGTCTGGCTGGGTCCTCCCAGACACGTCCCCCCTTTGGGACTGAGGACTCTGAGGTCAGAGGCCACACTGAACACCCTCTTCCACCATGCCAGAGATCGACCTTCCTGCCCGGGGATGTGCAGGCATCCTCAGGGGTCCAGGAAACCCCATGCCAAGGACCTTGCGAGGGGGCTGAGGGGTCAGGAGGAGTGCTCCACCCTTTGTCTTCTGCCTTGAGGGCCTTGCAGTCCGTTACGGAGTCTGCTGGGCTCTCCAGCTGTTTCTCCACTTGTAAGTGGGAGCATGCTCCCCTCACCTGCTCTGAGAACCAAAAGCACTAAGGACCAAAAGGGCTCCGCAGAGTGTCCACTCACAGCGCCTGCTGCTGTCACCTGTGGGTCTTGGGTCCCAGCACACCTGTGGCCTCGGGGGACAGGTGGTGAGCAGGTCAGGTGTGTCTGCAAGGTGCCTGTCTGGTGACCAATGCCCTCTGCGTGCAGGTGTCCCACTTACACAGGTGGGCTGGGGGCTGTGCCGCCTGCGGGACCTGGGTGGGGACATGTGCAGGGCAGGGCAGGCCAGAGCCAGGCACGTGCTTTTCTTCGAATTTTCTGGGTCATGGGATGTGTGATGAAATTCAGCCAACTTATGCATGAATTTAACCAACACGTGACATTTGATTTATTGTGACAACTTGCCAAGTAATTTCGTTTGCTATATGGAATTCTCCCAAGGACGAAGGGGCTGGTGCCACCAGGCCTGTCCTAGGTGACTGGGTGAGGTGGCCGGGAGGAAATGGCGGACCGGTTCCGGGTCCAGCGCCCAGGACTTGCCCTGTGGCCATGGGCAGCTCACCTAGCACACGGCTCCTCTACTGTCTTGGGCACCCACTTCCTGGCCCCAAAGGCGTTAGGACTGGAGGGGTGGGGGCGTCAGGAGCAGGTCTGTGGGGAAGCCTTCACTGTGTCACCTGTAACAGCAGTGGCTCAGGGGTTCAGAGCAGGGCTTTCTGCACGCTCCCAGAGCCCACCTTCCCTCTCATTTTCCTCACTGGGGGCAATTTTTGGTCTGTTTTGAGAAGAGCCTGGCTTGTGAAAGGGCCGTTCTCTGCCTGAACAGACTGGGACCTGGCGCTTTCCCGACGCCCACTCACCAATGGAAGTGCCTCCCTGCTGGGCAGGGGGGAGGGGGCTCCAGGCTGTACACACCAAGGGCAGATCACCACTTCGTTTTGGGGGGAAAACGTGCTCCAACGTTCCTGACACTTGCTCTGGATATTGCGGTCACTGCCCTCACTGCACAGAGTGGCACTTGTGTCCCCCCGCCTGCCTGCATCCAGGGGCCGTGTGGACACCGCGCTGGGACTGTGGCCCCCTCCCTGAAATCCTCCTTTCCCAGGACCTGAAGGACCAACGGTGTAGCCCACGCAGAGCCGTTGTGACAGTGTTGGCACTCCTGTGTCACAATGGGACCGCCATGGCACAGTCCCAGCCCCAGGAAACCACGGGTGACTGCGTAGGTGACACTGGGACGGCGCTCCTGGAAGGAGCTCCCTGCCTTCTCCTGGGGGCCGGCTCCTGGGATTGGATGAAAACTCCCAGGACAGTGTCAGATGAACCCTGGGGGTCCGTCTGGGCTCTGGGCTGACGATGTGGACGAGTTGTGAGGAGGCGGCTCCAGGATCGTGGGTGACCCAGAATCTGGCAGCGGCCCTCAGAAGGACGTGGCCTGGGCTCCGAGAGGCCGGGCAGCGCGGCAGCACACGTGCGTCCACACCGGGGAAACTGCCTCCCGGCACTCGTGGTCAGGCAGCTGCATCAAGATGACCTATTTTCATAGCGACACCGTGCTTCCACCTGTGCAAAATAAAAGCCTCCCTCGAAGAAAAAACGTTCTTAAAATGCCGGCTCTTAAACATCTATCTGCACCAGGAGGCCCGTGAGCTGAGCTCAGGCGGCGCCACCTCCTTGCAGGCAGGACCACAGACGCAGCTCTGATCCCTGGCAGAGACACATGGATGTCGGGAGGACCGTGGGGCTGAGTTCCTGTCTCCTTTCACCCCTCCCCCCATAACTTCGGAGGTGCCTAGCGCAGGGGACACTGCACCAACAGCGTCACACAGCAGAAGTCACACTTAAGAATACAGCAAACTGGTCTAGGCAACCTTCGCTCAGGGAGCCCGCTCACAGCCTCACACCCTCATTTCTTTGTCCAAATGTCAGCTTCACGAACGTCTCTCCGACAAACAACCTTGTAAAAAGTAGCAACCAGCCCACTCTGCCCCGTCTTCCTGCTTTACTTCTCCCAGCACCGGGCACTGTATTCATTTTCTAATGTATGGAGATTATGGTGTCTGTCCCCACGTTTGAGTGTCCGCTCCAGGAGCCACCTCCCTGCCCTCTCACAGGGTCTGTGACAGCAGCCTCCAACCCTGGCTCGCTTACCAAGGCCCAGCTGCCCGAACAGACAGATCTGTGACCAGAGCCCTTGGTCACACAGCAGAGGTGCAGCCCCGAGAGGCCCAGCAGAAGCAGCACCTTCCCTGAAAGCCGGGGGTACTGGAGGGCCCCCCAGGGCTCAAGTGCCTCCTAGTGCCATGTGCAGGACAACAGGGTGCTGTGAGGCTGAAGGCTGCCCAGGAGGGGTGGACGGTCAGAGCACAAGAGGACGGAGACCCCCAGGACACCAGGGGTGGGGCGCATGTGCAGCTTGGGGCCCAACCCCCCACGGAGCTGGACCTGAGGATTCAAACCTCTGGGGGCTGCTCAGAGCCTGAGGGTGTCCAGGGGCCCAGACCTGGGGGACACGGCCAGGCTGCCTGCGCCCCGGGTGGAAATGGGCTCCCTGCCTGGGGTCCTGAGAAGTACAGAAGGGGAGAGACACGTGTGCACACTGCAGAGCCCCGTCTGCTGTGTGAGGAGAAGGCGACAGGTTCAGAACAGAAGCGGGAGCCCTGGCAGGCTTGTCCCAGCCCCTGTCCACACCGCAGAGACTAACGCCCACGGGCTGCCTGTGCTCAGGAGTAGGGGTGGGGAGCGCCTCGGGACCATTAGAAAGCGGTAATCCAAGGCCCCTTTCTCCAATTCTGTCCCAAATGTCGCCATAAATCAGGACTTGGCAGCTTCTCACAGGCCCCGTGGATCACCCCAGGACAGGCGGTGGCCCCATTATAGATCCTGGGGCTATTGCAGGCTCCCCTCAAGCTCATTCAGCAACCCCCTAGGGCAAATGCCCGCCCCCCAAGGAGACTCAGCAGGATGGAGGCCTGCCTCCCAGGCTCTGGGTCATCCTGAGACAGTGGGGACCTCCTATCTCAAGTCTTCGTTGCTTAGGGGCAGCGTTCATTGCGGGGGGACCTCTGGGTGCCTGGGACTGAAGCTGAGGGGTCCCCAGCACCCACCTCTTGGCCTTGGCTCAGGCCCCTGCTTTGCACGGGAGCCCACTGGCGCCACACCCCACTCTTGCAGGGTGAGGTGGGCCGCAGGAGGCTGCAGGGGCTGGGCAGCGGCGGGGGGCCGGGCGGCACGGGCCTCTCTGCCCCCTCACCTGGCGTCCCTCTGTTTCTCTGCAGTGAACTTTGACCACTTCCAGATCCTGCGAGCCATCGGGAAGGGCAGCTTCGGCAAGGTAAGCAGAGCCAGCAGGACGCGGTGCCGGGCGGCCGCCCCTCCTCCCACCTGGGTCTGTCGGTGAGGGTGTGGGTGAGGCTGGGGCACCAGAGCCGGCTGTCAGCTGAGCTCACTGGCGCTGGGCCTCATAGCCCAGGTCACGGCAGGGTCTGGGAGCTCCGCCGGGAGCTGACCGCGCAGATGGCACAGTCGCTGGGCCGAGACCCTGACACCCTGTCCTTACTGAGACGCGAGGGTGCGTCCTGGGCGGCCCGCTGCCCCCGGCCTGTTTGCCCACTTCCCTTACTTTCTCTCCTCAGATCGAACTTCCTGATTGCTGCCTTGTAATATCTAGAGACGGGGGCAATTATACGTCAGAGAGGCTTAAGGAGGCTGCTCAAAGATTAAAATTAGCTCCTGGAACTCTGCCTCAATGGGTCTGTTGGAAATGAATTACTTCTGAATGGACAGTTTCTTTACAAGCGCGGGGAGGGGGGGCCAGATGAGCCCCCACACAGCTGTCTGATGGTGTCTATTTGAGCTCTGTAAGCCTTTTACAGGGTGCAGGGTACTTCCACTGTATCACAAGTGGGAGCTGGCCGTGGCCGCTTCGTGAGACTGCACCCCTCCCCGCAGCTGTGTGGCCATCTCCACAGGCTCGCGACGCTCTGTAGGTCTGACACCCTGGCCATGGCCTAAGGGGCAGCCGCTTAGCCTTGGGAAACCGAAACCCCGACCTCCCCCCGCCCCCTCCCCTCACCCTGATAGAAACGCAGGGTGCAGCCGCTCGGGCTTAGGGCGCTCTCTGCGAAGGGCCCCTCCAGGGGCATAGGCTCCCCAGAAGCCTCTGCCCACCCCACAGTGGCTTTGGGGGAGGCCACTGGGAGACGATGAGGCCTGACCTTGCTCAGGTCAGGAGGGCAGAAGGCAGGTCTGGGCTGCGTACACGCACTGGGAGTCATGTTTGGCACATGAGCTCACCGCAGGAGAGGCCTGGACCAGGACCTTCAGGAGAACAGCTGCCCCAGGGGAGGGTCAGGAGGACAGTGGTCACTCACTGGCCGTGGTGGTGAGGCGCCCGGCGTGGCCCTCTGCTCTGCCCGAACCTGTGTGTTCTCTGAACAATGGGCTTCCGGGGCTGTCCCGCTGTCTGTGAGGTGCTCCCACTCTGCCTGGGGAGCCCCGGGCCCCCGGGAGCCTTCCCCACATGCTCCTCTCTGGCTGTCCCATCCTCAGCACCTGCAGATACCTCCTCTGGGCCCGTCCCATTTCGGGGTGCCCATCAGAGCAGGGCTGCGGCCCCCCTCCCACAAGGCAGCACCCTCATAATGCAGAGGCTTTAATGCCTGTTGTCAGGCGTGTTGCTTTGTAGGGAACAAAACTTACTTGGAAAGAAAACGAACTTGGGGTGAAGCAGTAAATCTGAAAAACGCATCAACGCTGTCCCATGGCAGCGGCGGCTGCTCTGCCGTTAGTCACCGCCGTCCTGCGCTGTCCGTCCCGGCGGCACCGCTGCGGCCGGGGGCATTCCACACGGAGCCCGGCTGCCCTGGGCCGGAGGTCGGCAGAGCTCACTCCTGTTCAGGTCTCATTCCGCTCCCTCCCTCTCCAGCCTAAGTCCATTATCGGAGGAAGCCGCTTAGAAAGCTGAGGCCAATTTCCTTGGAGGAAATGGCTTAATGGCGCCAAGCGCTCTCAGCCTGGACGCTGAGTCCTTGAAGGCTGGGGCCTCCACTCCCTCTTTGTAAACGCCGCCTGTCCCATCTGCCACCCAGAGGGGTCCCTCGGAACAGAGATGGCGCCAAACCCCAGCGTTTCAAAATGCCACTAATTGGAGTCCCTCTTGTGCAGGCCGGGCCACTGCTGGTGACCCAACTGGTTCCCCAAAGGGCATTTTGATGTGACTGACTTTAAAGGAAGGACCCAGCAGCCCATGGGCCTCCGAGGGCTGGCCTCAGGCAGAGCTGGTGGCCAGGCCAGCCTGGGGCTGTGCCCCGGCCCCCTGGCCTGGGTCCGAGTACGGGGAAGGAAGTCAGAGGGAGTGGCCGGGTTGGCAGGTAGGAGGAGAGACGTGAGGCGGCCGGGAGAGCCCAGGAGAGCCCTGCCGGCAGGTCTGGGCACAGACGCAGAGGGGAGCAGGATGTTTTCCCAGGCGGCTGGCTCGGGCGCTGTGGGGACTGTGCCAGTCCTGGGCTTCCGGAACAAAGCGCTTCAAACAGCAGCCACTCAAGGTCCCAGTCCCAGAGGCCAGGGGTCAACATCGAGGGCCCGGCAGGGCTGGTTCCTTCTGGAGGTTCCAAGGGAGGCGGAATTTCACCTTTTTCTCTGAGGGTCTTCTGCTGAACCGGAAAATTAAATTGACACAGACAGGTTAACAGGAGAGGAGCACACAGGCTTATTTAATATGTTTTATGTGATGGCCCTCATGAGGAAATGAAGACCCAAACAACCAAAGAAGTGGCAAAACCGAAATGTTTTTACGCTGGACAGAGAGGCAACAGGAAAGTAAAACATAGAGGAAGGCTTTGCTAGGCCTGCTGGGTAAGCATCCTTGGGCGTCCATTTCCGTCCACGGGGCTGAGACTGTTCTCGCCTCCTGGGGGCACATCGCCCACTGGGGGGTTAGCTCCTGCTCCTTATAGCTGGTTCCGAGCCCCGAGGGCAGTCAGTTAAGACGACTTCTAGATGTCAGTCTCCATGAGTCTTCAGATGGCACAGCAAGGAAGGCAGGCAGTGGCGGTTCTGACGCGTTTCCTGACTCGCAGTGTGAGTGTCGCTGGGGATGGCACTGGGGGTTCCTGAGGGCCCAGGCAGCAGCACACACGAGGGTTGCCCAGACGTGATCTGCTGTGATTCCTGGAAGTCCATATTGTCCGCTTCCATTTGTAGAGCTTGAGGGAAAGGCAGTTTTCATCCTTAGGGCTCCCAAGTCAGAGGACGGGAGGAAATTGGAATCGAGAATAGCTGACAGAGGCACAGGGTGGCAGGGCCACCCCACGAGGTGTGCTGGGGCTTCTGTGAAACATGAAAGTCTCCCCTACAACAGCCCCTTTTTTATTAAAAATAACTGAAGTGAGGCAAGTTTGTTTACAAAATAAATGTAGTCTCGCTGAACTTGGCCTGAGCATTTACGCAGTCTGCACTGTGACATCCAGGCCTCTGAGTCTGCTTTGGTGGACCCTTGGCGAGGAATTTCAGATTTAGACGTTTAAAAGCCTCTGGAGGCTGAGGCCAAGTTAGCAACTTGTCACCAGACTGTGCCTTTAGCACCTATAAATTGGGGTGAATTCCTCTCTTCTCAAGATCCCCAAAATATCCTGAGATTTGTGGGCCTGACAAGAAGTGGCCTCCGTCACTCACCTGTAAGGCCAGGAGCCCTGGGAGCCAGGGGCCAGGCTGATGTTTCAAGGGCCTTTGTAAGCGTCGGCTCCACAAAATCAACCTTGCTCTCCTAACTGCCCGCTCATGTGACTGTCCCCACATCATCCTTACAGACGGCCTTTCAGTCCAGCGAGGGCACTGCTGTGCCATGTCTGCCCATCCAGGCTGTCCCCACACTGTGTGGCTGTGTCATCTCGACCTCGTTTACATGAACGGTGTGGTGTGACATCTCCGCCTGGCATTGTGAAAACTGTCACACGGCGTGACGTCTTTGTGGCTGCGTGACACTTCGTTGAGCCCATAAGCTCATGGCCACAAGGTTGTTGTTACGGTGTTTGAATGTCTTGTCGCAAACTACACTGCGATGAACGTCTTTGGAAGAAAGCACCTTCATGACCTCAGATAGCCTCCTGGGCGAGGGGTGTGGGTTTCAGCGAAGGGTTGGATCCAGCAGGTTTGGCTGGAGATGCTGACGCCCACTGCGACGTCCGGTTTGTTCCAGGCCACCTGCCTTTGGTGAGGCAGCTGGGACCTCGAGCTCCAGAATCTTCCACTCCGCGTCTTGAAGACCTGGAGACTGAAGGCTGTGGGGACCTCAGAAATGGCTCTGGGTCACCTGTCCTTGGGAGGGCTTGCCATGACTTGAATGGGGGACGTGGTGCTGGCTATGCAGCCCACAATTTTGTGCACGATCCTGATTCCCTTTGGGGACCTTTGTCCCTGATTTTTTTTTTTTTAAGCTGAGCCATCCTGTCACCTGTTGGCAGCTCAGCGGCTGCTCAGCTCAGGCTGGGAATCAAACCGCTGTTGCTCAGAGCTCAAACTCTTGAGCGAGCTCTTAACCAACTGAGCCACTCGGCCGGCCCTGTCCCTGATTTTGATTGAATGTCTTTGGCCACGAGAAGCCAGCCTGAGTTTCTCCCAGCTCTGGCCTCCGTCCTCACCTGCCCCGGCTCCTCTCCGCCAGGCAGTCAGCTGTGTGAGCAGTGGCAGCGGTGCTGACTGACCTTGCAGCTCAGCGCTCAAGGGCACTGGGATGGGAGACCCTGCTGTCCGGGAAGGGTGGGGTGTTGAGATGGCAGCTTCATGGGGCTTCCTGGGGGCAGAGCTCTGGCTAACCGGTCCTCCCATCCCCCAACAAGCCACTCGCTGTGTGGAGCGCCAGTAAGGGGATGCTGGGGTTGAGGACGGTGACTCCACCTGCCCAGGTCATGGCTGGTGAGGGCACGGCACCACAGCAGGCCTGTGGGCTCCCTGCCTGCTGTCAGGAGACACCTGTGCGCGGGCGATGTGTCCAAAGATTTACCCCCAGTCGTTTCAAAGTAGAGGCCGCGGGCGGGCGTGGGCGGCGGGGCTGAGTGGAGGCCGCAGGCGGGCGTGGGCGGCGTGGGCGGCGTGGGCGGCGGTGCTGAGGGCGCGTGCCCGCAGGTGTGCATCGTGCAGAAGAGGGACACGGAGAAGATGTACGCCATGAAGTACATGAACAAGCAGCAGTGCATTGAGCGCGACGAGGTCCGCAACGTGTTCCGGGAGCTGGAGATCCTGCAGGGGGTGGAGCACGTCTTCCTGGTGAACCTCTGGTGAGCTGGAGCGCCGGCCGCCCTCCTCCCGACGCGTCGCCGCCCGGCCCCCCCCCCCCCATCTCCAGGGCCCGCAGCCACCCAGGTGTCCGCGCACGCGCGCTGCGCTGCGTTGATGAGGGGCTCCCGCCTGTAGGAAGCCCCTGCTTTCCCACCAAGGAGGCCTGTGACCCACCGAGTTTCCGGCCAAAACGTCTGGCGGGGAGGGAGTTGGGGACCTGAGTTTCTTCCACAGAATGGGCACCCAGACCGGCCCCGGGGGTGCAGGACCCGCAGGCTGCCTCGGGTCAGCCCTCAATCCGCCCTGGGAGGGCTCGCGGCACTGGGGCCCCTGAACCCCACAGCCTCCTGTCCTGGGTCTGTGCTCCCTGCTGCCCCCACGTGGCCGGCCCGCGTCTCACAGCACTGAGAGGCCTGTGAAAAACGTGCTCGGGGCCCCAGTGCCGCATCCTGACCTGGGTGTCCACCAACTGAACCTAGAGCACCAAGCAGCCCAACCAGAGCGGGGACAGTACAGCGTGGCAGAGCGTTCTGCAGATGGTCTGGGGGGACTGCTCACAGCCCGGACGCCCCACCCACCACCCCCGCTATTGTCCTGGGGTCAACACAGGTGCAGGAGGGACATCAAAGTTGACAGCAGGCTCACCTGCACCCCTCGCAGCAGAGTCTCACGTCCTGCTCAGTGGTGACATGGGAGGGGGGAACCGGATGTGCTGTGGGGGAGTGGCCTTCCCCGGACAGCTGTGTGGACAGGAAGACTCTGACCAAGGCCTTCAGGGCCCCCAGGGTGTGGTGGGGCCAGGGGCTGCCTGGGCCAGAGGAAAGGGCACGTGTCCTCAGCCTCCTCACCCCCGTCTGCACGTGGCCACTGGCCTCACTCATTGTGGCCCCCACGGCCCTCAAGGCCACCTGGTCTCCAGGCAGGCAGAGGGGCTGGCGGGGCCACCTGTGTCATCATGGCCATGGCCCTGTTTTCAGTGTCATGGGACAAAGGTTCTAAAGCTGGTGGCATCCAAGCACCCCTTAAACCTGCCACCACTGCCTGAGGCTGGGAGGGTTGGGTGCCTCATCTCAAGGGTGGTGATTGTCCCCCTGGGGGGTCAGGAAAGACTTCACTGTGGGGGCCCAGCCCACAGCCTTGCAGAAACAGTTCCATCTGGGGCCACAACACTGGCACTGGGGCTTCTCGCAATAAAGACCTAGGATTTTCCTCCTCCGAGGCATCCTGGCCTCTCCCTGGGAGGCAGTGTTGCCTGGTGGTCAGGAGCGTTGGCCCCTGGTTTGGATTCCTCTGCGCTTTCTCAGTCCCCACCTCTGTGGAACAGGGCTGGGGGTGGCTTCCCGTGCCACCCTCACCAGACTGTGTAGAAGTTTAGACGTGTCACGCAGGCAATGCGCTCGCATGGGGCTGACTCAGGGCTGCGAGCCATTATTGTGGTGAATGATTTCTTCCCCCACCTGCTGCTGCTGGGGTCCCCATCCCTATAGGCTGGCCTGCCAAAGGACGACTCTCACCATTCCAGGGCCAAGCAGGGCAGGGCCATGGCAACCTCGCCTGCAAGTGTGGGAGGCCACGTGTTCCTGTCCATGGCTCTCAGGACCCCTGGCTTGTTCAGAAGCCCTGATCCAGAGACCCTTGCTCTGTGGTCCCGTTCCCGTGCCTTCTCCCCAGGCCCCGACCCGCACCACCCTCCCCAGGACAGCTCCCCTGAGAGTGAGGACTGGGTGGCTTGCAGAGAGCAGGAAAAAGATCACGTAAAAAATGAATTCTTTGTAACTATTCTTGAAAGAGCCAGTTGATTAAGAGTAAGTTACCTCTGTGAGCTCACAAAAGAAATTACAAAGTGGAAAGAGGTCCTCAAACCATTGTTTTGTTACTCCACCATCTTTATCATCTTCACCACCATCACCGTCACCTCCATCACCACCGTCACCACCGTCACCACCGCCACCACCACTGTCACCACCACCACCGTCACCACCACCATCACCACCACCACCACCATCACCACCATCATCACCACCATCACCACCACCACCATCACCATCACCACCACCACCATCACCACAGCACTCTTGCCCAGGACTGGCTGAACATTTCACCTCACTGTCTCAGTTTCTTCTCTAACAATCCTCCAATGCAGATGTTTTTATCCTCTTTCAGAGAAGGAATGGGTTGCAAGGAAATGGCCCAAAGATGGTGCTGTGCTCCACTCTCCATTGGTCTCTCATAGGCATCTGTGCCTCCAGCTGGGCCACCTTCCATCAGGACAGCCACGCCGAGGGTCCTGGCTCCAAGCAGGGGCAGAGTCAGTGCCTTAGGCTGGACCCTGCTCCTGGGGAGCGCCCAGTGGGAGCTGGGTGTGGGCTGGGACCCTTAGATGGGGCTCGTCAGGTGTGGCGGAAGCCATGACGCTGCCCCCAGCTGTGCGTGTCGCCGGTCCTTGGCGCCCACAGGTACTCCTTCCAGGATGAGGAGGACATGTTCATGGTGGTGGACCTGCTGCTGGGCGGGGACCTGCGTTACCACCTGCAGCAAAACGTCCAGTTCTCTGAGGACACGGTGAGGCTGTACATCTGTGAGCTGGCACTGGCCCTCGACTACCTGCGCAGTCAGCACATCATCCACAGGTGTGTGCATACCTGGCAGGGTGGCACTGGCTGCAGGGCCTTCCACTGGGCACAGCCACCGCTCAACAGACCCCAGCCCTGGTCCACACTCCTGCCTCCACCCTCCAGGCCTGGCGCCTGCCCCTCCTCGCCCCGCTGCATATCTGAGGTCCACCTGGAGGGGGGGAATCCTGTCCCAGCAACCCCAGCTGGGGCCTAGCAGACCTGGGGACCCCAGGACCTGGCCATATTGGGGTGGCCTTCACCTGTTTTGTTTAACTGCAGGATCCCTGCCACTGCCTAGCAGGCACCCATTTGTCCATCTGCCACATCCCTGGGGAATTCAAACTAATGTTAACATCCACTTAAAGCAGATAAAATTAGATAAGACCACTCACAGAGCAAAACCAAAAAAACACTGTGTGGTGTATCATAAAGTCAAGTACACGTGATTTCAGCAATTTTGTTTTCGGGGATTCCGTTATCTGGTCATGACGGGCATCCGACATTTATTGAGGGCCTGGAGCCGGGCAAGGTGAGGCCTGCGCATGGCCCATTCCCCAGCTGTGTGCAGCCCGGGCTCTGGGAGAGACTCTGCTTCTCCCACAGTCCTGTGGGGCTGTGGCCCCCTGTGTCCAGTGCTGGGCACTCCCCTGCTGTCTGACCCATCTTGGCAGGTGGCGCTGGAAGCGGGCCCCCCCCGCGGACCAGTGGCTGGTCTCACCCAGCTTTGTCCGCACGTTGCCAGGTGGGGAGGGGGCCGTATGCCCTAGCGTCTTCCCAGGGCCCCTGTTGGGCCTCTCAGGCCTCTGCCCAGGTGAGAGGCCCTCGGGGGGAGCCCCCGGCCCTGCCAGGCTCACGGGGCAGGAGCAGGAAGGGCTTCACTTATCTTCTCTCCTCCTGCTCTCTCGACAGAGACGTCAAGCCCGACAACATCCTGCTGGACGAGCAAGGTGAGGGGGGGCTGGGAGGCCCCTGCCCTCAGGATGCACCCCTGGTCCTGCGACAGTCGCGCCGTCCTCTCTTCTCACAGGGCACGCGCACCTGACGGACTTCAACGTTGCCACCATCATAAAGGACGGGGAGAGGGCGACCGCGCTGGCTGGGACCAAGCCGTACATGGGTGAGCTGCCCGTCGCCCTCCCACGTGGGCTCAGGTGACTTCCCTAGGGGCACACGGCAGTACATACGCAGAAGACTGGGTGATGTCTGAGGGTGATGGATGTGATAACGAGATAGCCCAGCGCCCACGGCCGGCTGTAGGACTTGGGTTTGAACCAGGCGGTAGGTGGGCCATGGAGGGCGACTTCTCTGTCCAGCTCTGGTGGCACCCTGGTCTTGGGCCCAGTCTGAGGTGCCAGCCCTCGGGGCCTGTGGGTTGGGGATGCTCAGCTGCTTCCTCCATTTCTGGAAAGCTCCGGAGATCTTCCAGTCTTTCGTCAACGGTGGGACCGGCTACTCCTTTGAGGTGGACTGGTGGTCGGTGGGCGTGATGGCCTACGAGCTGCTGCGAGGATGGGTACGGAGCTGCTCGGCCCGCGGGCTGGGACCCCAGTCCCCAGGTTCCTGGGAAGGAGGAGGCTGCCCCACCCCAGGGGCCCAGGGACACCCCAGCATCTGGGTCCTGGGGTTTCCAGCAGGGCCTCTGGGGGTGCAGGATGGGGCGCTGACCCGTAGCTGCTCCTTGGCACTTCCGTCCAGGTGTCTATGTGTGGCTTGGTGCTTCTCCCCAGCTGAGGCCATCTGGGCCTCCAGCTGCCCCCCATCCCCTCATGGGGACCGCCCAAGACATCGCACCCTCAGCTCCCCTCCCCCGCCCCCCGGGCCCCTGCCCCTGAGGATGGCAGCCCCTCCTGGCCCTCTAGTGCCCACCCCCCGGCCCTGCCCAGAGTTGAAAGAGCTTCCTTCCTGGCTGCTCAACAGGCTCTTCCGCTCAGTCCCAGCCCAGGAGCAGACCCGGCCCAGGCACCCACTTTGTCTGCCTCCAGGCTGTTTCTGGGGGGCAGGTGGTGCCCGGGGCTGGGCCCGTGCTGGGGCGGGGTGCTGCCGGGGCTCTGGGTGATGGGCACCTGGCACAGCGCTGCGTCCCCTGTCCAGAGGCCCTACGACATCCACTCCAGCAATGCCGTGGAGTCCCTCGTACAGCTGTTCAGCACCATGAGCGTCCAGTACATCCCCTCCTGGTCCAAGGGGATGGTGGCCCTGCTCCGGAAGGTGAGCCCCCAGCCCTGTCCTGAGGCGGCGGTGTCTGGGGGCCCAGGGTGGGGCCGCCCTCCACAGCCGTGTGACGGGGGCCTTGTTCCAGCTCCTCACGGTGAACCCCAAGCATCGCGTCTCCAGCCTCCAGGACATGCAGGCCGCCCCGTCGCTGGCCGACGTGCTGTGGGACGACCTGAGTACGAAGAAGGTGGAGCCGGGTTTTGTGCCCAACGTAAGCCTGCCGGGTGGCCCGGGTGGCAGTGTTGGCGGCAGGGGCGGCCCCGGGGAGGCTCAGCACCCTGTCCCTCCACAGAAAGGCCGCCTTCACTGCGACCCCACCTTTGAGCTGGAGGAGATGATCTTGGAGTCAAGGCCCCTGCACAAGAAGAAGAAGCGGCTGGCCAAGAACCGGTCCCGGGAGAGCAGCAGGGACGGCTCCCAGACAGTGAGTGCACTCGGCGTGGGCCCCCTCGGCCCCTCCCGGTGCCCCGCCAGGCTCCTGGCATGCATGCACCTGGAAAGTCCTGCAGACTGGGGTCTTCCCAGAGTCCCGAGAGGTCCTGAAACCTTCCTCCCACCTTTCCTGGCCCCGTCTCTGGCTCCCAGAGCTCCTCACCTCCTTCCCTGGGCCCCTCACTTCCTCCTCTGGGCGCCTCACTTCCTCCTCTGGGCCCCTCACTTCCGCCCCTGATCCCCTTCACTTCCTCCTCTGGGCCCCTCACTTCCTCCTCTGGGCCCCTCACCTCCTTCCCTGGTCCCTGCATTTCCTCCTCTGGGCCCCTCACGTCCTCCCCTGATCCCCTTCACTTCCTCCTCTGGGTGGGAGTCAGAAGCGAATGAGAACCCACTCCTGGGGCTCTTGCCGGGGAACTAGACCCAAATCTCGGGAGGATGCCCTCTTGGCACGACCCTGCTCCGTCAGCGTACCGTCCACGCCAAGCACCTCAGCACAGCAGGGCCAGCCCCTCCCCACTCGGCTGGCCTTGCTGCCATTGACTTTATTCTGGGTGGTGGCGGGGGTGGGGGTGGGGCGTAGGGTGTCTTCTGAGGCACCCACTGGCTGCAGCGGCGTGTCTGCAGCGACGTGAGGGTGGGTGCTGCTCTTCTCCAGCAGGGCCGGCCCCTCTGCGGGCTCCGCGGGGTGACGGAGCCCACGTGCATGCACTCAGACGGCCCCGCTCAGGTGTGGGGTCCAGCCTGGAGTCCAGCCCTCTGAGGTCCGACGGGGCAGCTTGGGCCACAAGGCTGGGGGTGGGCCGCCCTGAGCCTGTCGCTTGCTCATGCGCCCCCAGTGCCCAGCGATGACCAGCCATCCCCATGGGCCGTGTGACTCCTTCCCCACCTGTCCTTAACACCAGAGCTGCAGTAGCGGCCAGCATACCCTCCCACTGAACGCCGCCCCCTTGCTGCACGCGCCCCCAGTGATGGGTCGTTTATCGGGCCAATGCAGGACCCAACTCCAGTCCCTTCCTAAGAGTCTGCTGCTAAGGGGGGACTCTGTGACTAACCTTCTTAGGACAGGTTCTCCAGAAGCAGACCCTGTCGGGAATTTGTACACAAGTGACAAGTGACCAGAGGACCCAGTAAGGACTGAGGGAGACGAGGGAGCCAAGCCAGGTGTGCTTTCCAGTCGTCTGGTCCCACAGTCATTGCCGTGTCAGCATCCACCTGAGGCAGGGGGCGGGGCTTCCTCACAGGAAATCCCCTGGGAGGCACAAGCCCCAGGTGCTCTGGCTTCCTGAGAGCAGAGTTCAGGCTGCAGAAGAAAGCCACAGGTGCTCAGGACGGCGCCTGAGGGGACGCAGGGAAACTGACGCTGTCCACTGCTCGTTCTGACTAACAGGAGAATGACTATCTCCAGGACTGCCTCGACGCCATCCAACAAGATTTTGTGGTCTTTAACAGAGAAAAGTGAGTGTGGGCGGGGGACAGAGGCAGAGAGCAGGTTGGGGAAATGGGCCGAGGGTTTCTTGGCCGCACACGTCCTGAGCCTCAGCAGCCACACGGCATCAGTGGGCCCTGGAGACCTCATCCTGCCCGCCTGGGGGGTTCGGAGCAGCAGCCCTGGGGGGAGAGGGTGGGAGGTCCAGCTTGGGCTAGTGCAGGAGGTGCTTCTTGGGAACTTGCAGTTCTAAACTGGGACCGATGTCCAGTCTCCTGGGGAGACACTCGGTGGACTTCCCAGATGACGGTTGCCAGCTGCCTGGGCGGCCCCTGCAGTCACCCTAACTCCCACCTCACTCACTCAGCAGTGAGCCAGGGACTGGGACGACAAGGGCATGGCTGGGAGCTTCAACAGGCCACAAATAGCTGACACCCCCGTTGTGCTGTGGGGCTCACGGGGAGGAGGCAGGGGAGGCTTGGAAGGCTTCCTGGTGGGGGTGGCTCTGAGCTCTGGCAGGGAAGGTGGACGGGAGAGGCTGGTGCTCTGTCCTGCTTAGGTGACCAGGACATTTGGGCACTGGTGGAGGACACTGGCCACCATCCCGCAAGTCAGAGGCCTGGGTAAGACCGGAACTGGGCCAGGCTCTTTGAAAAGCCCCGTTCCAAAATCGTTAACCCCAGAGCTTGCACTTAAACGAAGCCTCCTTTCAACTTCTGGCTGGAAATGAGCTGAGACTCGCCAGCCCTGCTGCTCCCAGCCCCAGAGCCGCAAGAGGCCAGAGGACGCTGCTGGCCTGAGCACCCCACAGCCTACCTGCCCTGTGACCCGCCCCACGTCCGCCATCAGCTCCCTGCTGTGCCAGCCTGTCCAGGAGGGGTTTCCCCCCAGCACCTGGCCCATGTTTGGAGTCCTCAGACGAGCTGTGGCCAGTGAGATGTGTCAGGGCTGCTGGTGAGTCTGCACAAAACCCCTCCCTGTGCTTCCCCACCAGGCTGAAGAGGGGCCAGGACCCCACGAGCGAGCCCCAGCCCACACCCGAGGCCAGGGACACGGACGGCGAGGCCTCCGCGGACGGCGAGGAGGTGCACTCTGCCCTGCCCATGTGCGGCTCCATCTGCCCCTCCGGGAGCAGCTAGGAGCCTGCCGGCCCCGAGGCGCCGACTCAGCTTGCCCTGGAGACTCAGGTCCGCCAGAGGGACAGGGTGACAGGGTGACGGGTGCACGCCCAGCACTGACATTCCCACTGAGGCCTGCTCTCCAAGCACAGACCCAGGCTGGTGGCCCTACTGTGTCCTGGCCACACTCTCACTGTTACTGTCCGCCCACCCTGCCTTTGGGCTCTCGGAGGTACATGGCGATGAGAAGCTGTTGGTGTGGCCCGCAGGGTGGACGAGGGGGTGCCACCTGAGCCACTCCGGTTACATGTGGAAGGAGCAAGCAGCCAGCTGCCCTGCCTCTCCGGTGGCCCCTGGCTGGCTCACTGGCAGGTCACGGAGGCCACGTGGTGGGACAGGAGCCTGTCCCTCACCACCTCTCGGCTGTACACGGGATGTCTCTGCCACCGGCTGCCCGCCGTCCATAAGCTTGCTGCCCAGAGCTGTGGGGGTGGCCCAGGGCCCGAGGTTCTTGTACATCACGGGGGGAGGGGCGTGGGTGGGGTGGGAAGGTGACATTTTATGGACACACAGCGGTTTCTGCGGGGTTCTGTATGGTTCTCACCTCTGAGAATTACAGCAGACCTACTCAGAGTCCAGTGTCGGCATGTTCCCTCCCTGCCCAGCGTCCTGCGTTTACAGGGACCATTTGTCTGGGGGTCGGGTGGCTCCTGTGGGCGGAGCCCTTGGCACCCCAATCCCACCGCCCTGGGTCGGGGCCCCGTCTCTCACCCAGAAGCCGTGAGGCTGTGGCAGGTGTGGTACCTACTGGCGGGCAGCGGGCCGGCTGGGAAAGGATGGGGACCAAAGCACCTGACCCAGCGTCCTGAGGGAGAGCTAGCTGCGCCTGCTTTGGGGGGGGGGTGGCAGGAAAGAGGCTCCTGTTCCCTGGGGGCTGGATGTGCCCACGCCGGGGACACAGGCCCAGTGACCCCCGGGGAAGACAAGGTCCAGAGGTGGGCAGCGCTGCAGGACACCCTGTAGGTGGGGCAGACCCCAAAGAAAGTTCTGGGTGGAGACCTGGTAATGTCAGGCAGGAATGGGGGCGGGAGTTTCAGGGTTTTGTGTAAACGTGTGTTTCTGAGGCCCTAGAGGGCAGAACGCCTGCTTCCCGTGTCAGTGGCAGGGACGTGGGTGTGATCTGGCTCCCTGATCACCCCATCTCTCACCAGGGGCGGGGGACACGGTGCAGTCAACATCGGCCTCAGTGGAGCCCCAGAAGTCACCTCTGAGGCCACACTGACTGTCGTGGCCAGAAGGAGCCCCCAGGGACTCGGTGGGACCAGCAGGACTGACCGCCTCCAGGGGCTGCCCTGGACCCACACGCCTTCCTGAGAGGGTGGGGCTGTGTGTGTCCCCCAGAGAACACGGCTGGAAATGCTCCCAGGTCACCAGTGAGAATGGCTGCCTGGGCAGGGGCTACAGTGCCCGGTGGTGGAGGTGCGGGGGGCGTGTCCCTGACCTTCCAGCTTGTCTTCTCAGTGACCGTGACCATCCTGCTCTTGGGGCAAAGGTACCCCTTCTGAGAGCGTGCCACACCGAGGGAGCCATTTTTATGAAAAAGGCTGAGGCCAGGAGGCTGGCCCAACAGTTGCTTCTCTGGAAGGTTCTGGGCAGCCCAGCTTGGGGGTCTGGATCAGAACTCTGGGCTGCTCTGTTTAGGGGGGCAGGGCCGGGCAGCACATGTCTGTGGATGGGGTGCCTGTGTCGGGCCAGGGCTGCTCGCGGCAGGTGTGAGTTTGCAGCCAAGCAGCTAACTTACTGCTGGGTGGCTTGGGTGGGACTCCTCCCGTTCAGTCCTGCCCCTTTGAGCACCTGGCTGTGGGTCATGCCAGTGTCCCACTGATCCTGTGGGCTGTACCTGACCTGCAGGGCTGGGCTCTGGCACAGTTCCCAGGCCCCCTTTCCTGATGGGCAGCCTCCCAGCCCAGGCTGAGCAGTGCTGTCCCTACGGACAGCCCCGGGGTCCAGGTTCACAGCCCGCACAAAGCAAGGACAAGGGGCACAGGAAGTTCCCAAGGGTCCGGCGCGTGACCCGCTGGTGGGGGGTGGTGCAGGGCGCAGAGAAGTGGGAGCAGCTTCCGACCCAGATGCCTTTAATTGACCCAGTCCCCGTCAGACTGGGGGACAGTGCTGCGGTCGGGGCCGTGGTGGCATGCAGTCCTGGCTACAGTTGTCCTCACCGCACAAAACTTCTGCTCTAGAACTATCGGAATGCACGCTTAGTACCGAAAAGAGCATTCTAGCTACAGGACCCTAGAACTGCCCCGGAGACGGGCGACTAGAGGTGAGTTTTGGTCCTTGGAAAAGTGTACAGTGGCTGCAGGAGTCCTGCCGGGAGCCGCCCTGCACTAAGCTCCCGATGAGTCCCTGAAGTCACAGCAACCCTGGGGCTGCTGCGCGTGGGACGGGGCAGGTGGCAGAGCCCGGGCTCTGCGGGGCAGTGGTTCACGCCCGGCGGCGGAGCAGACGCCGAGCCTCTCGGCCTATCCAGGTCACGAGGCCCCAGGGGTTCCCGCGGCCCTACTGGGGTGGCTGCCCTGCCTTCGCGAGGCACCTGGGCTGGGGCCCCTGCGCTGCCCCTGGCAGTGAAACCTCCCCAGAGTCAGCCCTCTCCTTGGGGGAGCGCCTCCTAACAGGCTCTGGGGCCCGAGAGGGAGTTTCTGGGGAGGGGCAGGAAGACCAAGCACCTTTCAAAGAAAGCCCAGCAAAGGGGAAGCGACACGGTGAGCGGTCCCAGCAGGGTGTTGGCACCCCCGCCGCTATGCCTAGGACAGGGAGGTGATGTTGGAGCGTCCGCCAGGGGGCGCCATGATCTTCTGGGCTGTGCGTCTGGCGATGTGGTCATCCGCCTGGGATCCTGGGGAGAAGCGGCCAAGGCGGGGAGTGAGTGGGTGGAGGGGTCGCAGACAGGACGCGCCCGAAAGGCCAGGGCTGCAGAGCCCACACCCACCCGCACCACCGGGTCCCCGATGCCCCGGGATGGCCACGGCGCGTAGACCAGGCGACCGGGCAGGGGACGGAGGTCAAGGGTGACCGTCTCTGGGGAGCCCATCCACCCACAGCATGGGCCCTCCGATGGGTCTTGCGCCACCCTTCATGCACACGGGCTGAATTTCAGAGGGGACCTTCCCCTGGCCCTGTGTCCCCAAGAGGTGCAGGGATTGCCATCACCTCCCTGAGAGGATGACACAAGACATCATGGTGGATTGGCCCCCACCCCTGGGCTGGAAAGAGAGAGGGAGAGTCTGGCTCTAGCCTGCAGGGACAGCCCTGGGCTCAGGAAGAATCTGTCACAGCGGGCTGGAAGCACAGCCAAGACCCTGACCAGAGGCGAGTCCAGCAGCCTGCACACGGGGGCCAACTGAGCCCCCCGAGGCCCAGCAGCATGGGCCCGAGCGCACGCCGGCCCCTTCCTCGCGTGCATTTCCCGGGCTGGAGCTGCACTCCCACGTGGTGCGCGGGTCAGGCAGAGGCCGGGCATCCCACGCTCACCTAGGGCCCAGTGACAGGCCCCTCTTCAGCTTGGCTGATTCAAGGTGGGGGCACCCCAGCCCCCCTGGGGCAGACGCTGGGCAACCGGAAGCCCAGCCCTGGTGGGCGGGGCCTCAGCCTTCCCGCCCTCACCCGGGGCAGCGCCCCCCACACCCAGCTCACCCGACAGGCTGAACCCCGACTGGTGCAGGTTGCGCACGGGCGGCACTGAGATCTTCCCGGGGCAGGACGCACGGGCCTGGGCGCTGCCCCCTGGCTTGGCGGGCACCATCACCTCGTGGACTGGCCCGTCATAGAGGCCTCGGGGTACTCCGTGGACCTCCGCCAGCTGCAGGCCAAAGGGGCCGAGCGTGAGGGGCTTGAGCCACCTGGCAGCTGGAGGGCAGGGGCTCCCTACCCCAGAGCCTGGCCCACTCAGCTCTGCAGGCCCTCTGGGGCTCAGAAGCTCCCAGCTCCCCGCCAAAGGGGCATCCACCTCACGTGCACAGACACCCACTTTCCTCCCCTTCTCCCCCCCCACACACGTGTGCCTACCCCCACACACGTGTGCACACCCGCCACCCTCTCCCTCACACACACGTGCACCCCCCCACACGTGTGCACCCGCCTCCGTCTCCCTCACACGTGTACACACACCCCTCACACGTGTGCACACCCACCTCCGTCTCCCTCACACGTGTGCACTCACTGCCCTCTCTCACACACGTGTGCACACACCCCTCACACGTGTGCACCCGCCTCCATCTCCCTCACACACGTGTACACACCCCCCTCACACGTGCGCACACCCGCCTCCATCTCCCTCACACGTGTGCACTCACTGCCCTCTCTCACACACGTGTGCACACACCCCCTCACACGTGTGCACACCCGCCGCCCTCTGCTCAGACAAGTGGCCCCACAGAGGAGGCTGCTGTTTGGAATTGCAAACTGGCCCCAACAGTGTCTGCCTTGTCAGAAACCATCGTCCTGCGGTGCAGCCCGCTCCAGCCCTGAGACGGGGGCCCTGAAAATGGCCGCCAAAGTCAGAGGCATTCCCAGTAGCCACGGCAGTGGACACATGGTCCCCGATCAAGGCCCACGGAGCAGGCCCGGCCGGAGGACAAAGCTCCTGGAACTCCCGCCTCGCCTGCCCGCCGGGGCCATACCCTGTTGCGCGCCTTTATCCTCTTGTACACGAAGTCTGGGAACGTCTTCCGAGGAACGAAGCGGCCAGCCCCCGGGGTGACACACACATTCCCGTCCTCCAGCACAACCCTGCCCTGACTGATGACGACTGTGGGGACGCCTCGGCACTCGACGCCTTCGAAAATGTTGTACTCCACATTCTGAGGACACAGGGCCGAGGGTCCAGCACCACCCACAACTCCTGCTGTGGGGGGCCAGCGTCCCTGAGGACCTCTGAGGAGACACAGGGCCTTCCAGAGCACAGGAGGAGGTGGCCACAGCCTCCTGCGCCCGTTCCTGAGTGCCATTTTTTAGAAGGACAAAGGGCACGTGGACAAGCCTGCACTGGGGCTATCTGGCCCATACTGCAGTCTCTAGACAGATGTCCCAGCCACGCGTCCTTGTGTCGTCCCCAGAGCCCCGGGAAGGACCCCAGACCCCAACCCTGCCCCGACCCTGCCCAGGGCCTGGCTTCTCTCACCAGGTTGTGGCTTTTGGCAGAGATGATTTTTGTGGCCCTGGGGTTCCATATAACCAGGTCAGCGTCGGAGCCCACAGCCACTCGCCCCTTCCTTGGGTAAAAATTGAAGATTTTGGCTGCATTTGTACTGGTCACAGCAACAAACTCATTCTCGTCCATTTTCCCCGAGGCCTGAGAAGCAAGAAGCCAAGCTGAGGGGAGGGGACGCCCTTCCTGACATCTGGTCTCGAGCTTCGGGGGGACAGTGGCCCCTGCCCCCCAGGCAGCAAGCAGCCAACCCCCCCCTCAGGGCACCAGTCAACGGGTCCGTCTCAGTCAGCCTGCCGGTGGGACCCTTCCTGCGGACTCTGTGGGTGAAGAAATGGAGACGCTTCCACAGCGTCTGTGTTCCCTGAGGGACGTGACTGTCTCCCCGGGTGGCCAGGAGCCCGTGTGAGGACGGGCAGTGAGGGCAGCCGGGGTCAGGACCTTGGCCCAGGGAAGAGCTCGGGGCTGGAGTTGGGGGGCACAGGGGACAGAGGATGCCGGGCAGGGCTGAGATCTCAGGAGTTCTGGGGACATTACTGGCACCTCAGAGCGAAATCCCATTGGGAAGGGGCCCCAGGAGGGCCCGGCTGCTCATGGCTGAGGGGCCTCCTCTGGGGGGACCAGAACCGGTGTGTGAGGTGCCCCGGATGGCAGGGCTGGGGGTCGACAGCCTGGGGCCCACACACTCGACTGTTCCACGCGGTGCCTTTTCTGGGCAGGTGGCTTCACGGCCTGCGTGGGCTGGCGGTGCCCGCGGCCTCGGCACTCACCACACACTTCTCCCACACCACCGACATGCGCTCCTCCACGCCGTTGGTGCCCTCGGGGATGAGGGTGAAGTTGTCTTTGCCGACAGCCTTCTGGGCGGTGCTGAAGGTGCAGTGGGCACTGCCAGTCACCTGTAGGTCCCCACTGAGAACAGGCTGGGGTCAGCGAACCCGGAGGGGCCTGGCCGGTCAGCTTTACCCCCACATGGCCAGTGTACCCCACAGGAGCTAGAGGCTGTCTGCGAGGGCAGCCTCGGTGTCGGGGGCACAGGGGGCAGATCAGTGTGCCCTGGATTGGACTGGAACTGCTGGCAGGTCAAGGTCACAGAGGGGCATGGAGCACTCGGGCAGCCCCCAAGCCGCCCCTTACCTGGACAGCAGGGAGGTGAGGTGGTCTGCAGTGGTGGGGTCCGGGTTGATGGGGGGTGAAGTGACAAAGGCCGCAGCCTTGGCCCAGTTCTTGCTCCAGTAGTGCGAGCCGTCCGTGCCCAGGCTGGCGGTGATTGGCTCCCCAAACACGACCACACCTACAGCGAGGCCCATGAGAGGCGCCCCAGCAGCCTGCACGCCCCCAGGATTCGGGCAGGGTGGAGGCTGGGCACCCCTCAATTGCCCCTTGATTCCCAACCCTGGACAGCCTGTCCCCCTCTTCAGGGGCACCTGGCACTGGGCAGGCCGGGGTCCTCTCCGTACCCACTCTCTCACACTCCCCTGCTGGGCACTCCGCTGGGTCACAGGCTGGAGTGAGACCCAATCAACTCACTGCCCACCCCCGCCCGCCCCCACCCAGCCCCACCAGGCCCCAGCCTGGCCATAAGGGACCTGGGTTCTTCTCACTGACCCACTTCCTTCTCCAGCTATGTGGGTGCTTTGTGAGCAGAGGGCAGCCCAGCTCCTGGATGTATGGAGGTACCCAGCTGTCAGTAATGTGGGGCTCCCGGTGGGGGCCCGCTGGGCAAGGTTCCACTGCACGCAGAATCAGCCCCGCCCCACCCACAAGATGGGACACCCCCGCAGCTGCACAGGGACTCCCACAAGCCACACAGCCACACCCCTGGGTCCCCAAGATGGGGAGGGCAGGCATGGAGAAGCGATGCTTCTCAGGAGGGCCTGTCCCTCTCTGAGCCTCAGTCGAGCCAGCCGAGCTTCCGGGAGGCCAAGAATGTGACCCTGGCCCCCCCGACCCTCCCCAGCATCGGGGTCGAGGCCCAGCACTCACCCCTGCGCTTGGCGTGGGCCACCACGTCGGCCGCACCCTTGCTCATCACCTTGGTGACATACAGGGGGCAGTTGGCCTGCTTGGCGATCGTTATAGCTCGGTACACAGCTTCAGCCTCCACCTGGGGACAGGGACACTCAGGCCATAAGAGGGCACTGGGGCCTCCTGACCAGTGTGGGCATGGGATGCCAGGTCCTGCCCCCGAGGGGGCACCCCTGGGGGGTGAGGACCCCAGCCTGGGCCTCGGTTCCCATGCCGTTCCCACCGCCTTCTCAGCCTCAAGTACTGGACTTAGCGTGACCAGTGGTCACGGGGGACAGGTGCCTGGGGGGGAGAGCGGGGTGTGAGTCACACCTCCCAGGTGAGGACAGCGTGACCGCAGCCCTGCCTGGGCCTTGGGTTCAGGACCCAGCCCCAGAAGGCAGTGGCATCTGGGGCGCAGCCAGTGCTGGGGTGGCCTCAGCAGGCACAGCTCCTACCTCCTCGGGGCGGCTGAGTACGTGGCCCTCGGGGCCGGTGACACCAAGCTCCAGCAGCCGCTTCTGCTCCTAAAGAAACAACAGGCCACAGTCCAGCAGGGCTGGGAGCTTTGGCGGGTGCGACCTCCACTGCCCGGGAGACCCTGCTGCCCGGGCTGAGTCCTGGACCCCCGGGCTCCCCAGAATCCACAACCACAGAGAACTCAGACAGAGGAGAGGTCATTGGAGGAGTGACTGCAGCTCCCTGAACTACAGATGAGGAAATGGGACTTGGAGAGGGGAAGGGACTCGCCCAAGGTCCAGGGCTCCCGGCTGACGGGGCCAAGACGACCCCGCCACCTTGCCCACCGAGCGGGGTGTATACTGGGGGCTCCGCACAGCCGTGGTGGCATCTTCCGTAAGCACGCTCGCCCTGCCACAGCCGTGCCATAGCATCCCTCTTGTGTGAAGACGACACGGATGCCAGGCTCTGGCGTGGACAGTGCGGGAAGCAGAGCCCCGTCGACCCCACAACAAGACTCCCCGGCATGGCCGGCCCAGCACCTGTATGCTGAGCTGGACCACAAAGACACGCAACGCCGACGGCCTGCAGCTGAATGGACGGACGAGGACCCAGGCACCCTGCGTGCCCCTCCCCAAGTGTCACGACCTTCCTGTCGAACTAGGGATGGGAAAAGCCAGACGCCCTAGGATGGTTCTCTGCGGGCCTGGGATGCCAGGGAGGTGGGCTTGGAGGTGTGTGACCTCCATCCAGGCCCCGGAACCTCCAAGGGGCCCCGCAGCGCTGAGCTCAGGGGACACCAGAGGCACGAGGAGGAAAGTGTCACGTGCGGGGCCAGAGGCCATGGGCATCCCACCTCACAGCCTGGGGCCTAAGGGCAGGGCGAGTGGGCTCAGCCATCCTCAGGACCAGCACCTCCTGGGATGTGACTGAAGGACAGGCCACCGATGCCACTCGTGCGCTCACTGGTCAGAGGAACAAAACAAGGGTCCAGCTCCCAGAGGAGCCTCAGTTCACGGAGGCGGGAGGCCCTGGGAACCCGCCTCGGTCACCCCTCATGAAGCCACATTTTGGTTTGGGGGAATCTTTCATAAAACGTGTGATAATCACGGAAAACTCTGTTCCAGCACAAAGCTGCCCAGGCCCCCCCAAGCCCCTGCTGGCGTGACCTCGGACCCTGGGCCCGCGATTTACTGAATGTGTTCAACGTGGGCTCCCTCCGGGTCTGTGAGGTTCAGTGCTCATAGCTGGGTGTCCCGCGGCCGCCCCGCCCCCAACAGCCCCCGCACCTCGTCCACAATGTCCCCGTTCTCCGCGTGCACTTGGGCCACAGCTCCCAGGTCCCGGATGATGCTGAACAGCTCGTACATCTGGGGAGAGAGGGCGGCCGTGTGGGGCTGCGTCTCTCCCGGAAGCAGCCGAGACACACCTGCACTCCCTCCACGGGGCACGTACCTGGCTGTCGGTGCACTGACACCTGTCCTTGTACGCCATGAAGACCAGGAAGGAGTTCACACCTGGAGGAGAGGCAGGAGGGTCCGGTGCTCAGCCATCATCAAGGGGGATGCCCAGGGGGGACCCAGGCTGGCCAGGGCGGGCGGCCCGTCCCCACAAACACTCACAGACAATTGGCAATCGGGAGGGGTCAGCCCAGCCCAGCCCCAGCCCCAGCCCCCTACTGCTCCCAGGTGCTCCCCGCAGCGAACGCAGGTGAGACCCCTCGCAAGCCCCTCAGTAACCCCCACCCCTCTCTAACTTCATCTAACTGCCATGAGATTCACTGTGAAACTCTGATGTGGTTTTAGCTTTAGGACTTTTGATGAAAACAACTTAACCCTGTTTGACAGCACAGGCAGCAACAGATTTCAGGTTTTAATGCTGATGGTTTCAACGCATTCTCCTTCTAAAGATTCCAGGAAAACGCATAGCACTTTCCTTCACCCAGGGCCAAGATAAGGGAACCGCGGTGACAGCGGCAACCGCTGTGACCTCTTGTGAGAACAGTTACAGGCTACGTCCCTCAGATGCGGGAGGCAGGCTGCCTCTTAGTCTAGATCCTTCAGAAGTAGACTCGACCCTCGAATGGCTCTTGTCCAACTTCCCCCAATTCCTGGCCACCTGCCCTGGGGTCAGACGGAAGCAGAGTCCAGCTCAGCAGGGGCCGGGGGAGGGGGCTTCCCACCAGCAACCAGGGAAGCCCAGGCTCGGAGCCCGCCCGCCCTCCTGCAACCCCTCAGCCCGGCTCAGGACCACCACTCACCTTTGTCCTTGACCAGAGCCTCCAGCTCCTCCCTGACGCCCTCGTGCCAGCGGGGGACGTCCACATGCAGGGAGTAGTCGCAGCACGCCTCACTGTCCGCCCGTTCCCGCCACTGCTCATAGGCTGTCAGCAGGCTCACGCCCGCGTCAGGAAACACGTGGTCCACTGTGGGGGGCAGTGCAGTCAGCCGAGCCTCCCCCCCCCCCGCCCCCCGGGTCACTGGGAATCACCTTGGGCTCCAAGGAGGATCAAGTTCATGTTCCCAAGAGATCAGAAAGCACATTTGAGAAAAGCAGAGGTGTGGCCACAGGCACTTAAGCTGGGGGCTGATATGCAGTAAGCCCACCCGTTGGTTCTGCACAGAGGCACTTCCTGCCCCATCTCCCAGCCTCCCTCTGAGCAGAGCAAGTCCAGGTCCAAGCCACTCCGCTCCCCAATGGACACATCACCCCCCAAGGAGCGTGAGTGGCAGCTAAAGGCCGTAACCTCCAACGCAGGTCTCCACCTGAACCAGGCACACCTGGAGGGGGCAGGTGGTGCTGTCCGCGGGGCTGGACCTGGGAGCCAGGCCGGAAGGGGACGTGGGGGCCACGCTGACAGCATGCACCTTGAAGAGTGCCACACAAGGGTACACAAGGCCACTGTGCTGCCACCCTGCCATGCCAACCTCACGTCCTCTCATGGGCGAGGGAAAGGGTAGGGTGGCCAACAGAAGGCACACTCCCCTCAAGGTTACTGGAGAATGCCATGTCTTCCTCCAGCACAGCCCCATGCGGGGTCTCTATGCTCCCACAGTTCAGAGCAAGGACCCAGGACCCTGAGGGAGTAGGTGCCTGTCCCACCCTGCAGGCTGTTCACAGCTCCACCCTGGGGCTGACAGGTGGAGGAACAGATGGCTCAGCCGAAGCCAGCCCTGTGCCTGCAGCATCTCCGCAGCATCTCCGTCCTCACGGTGACCTCACAGCTTTCTGATGCCTTGGCACTGGCATGAGCAGGTGACATCAACCATGAAGGCGCCTGGCTGGCCGGGGCCACCAGTGACCAGCATGAGCAATGGCCTGAAACGACCAGTCTCCTGAGTCAAACGAAAGATGGACCCTGGTGGGTTTTCTTCACTTCATGGTTGAGTAAACCAAACCAGGCCATGATTTTGGCAATGACTAAATATGACATGTGAAGTAGTCCAGGGTCCTTAGGTGGCAGCAGTGACAGCATTTACTGAGCACTCACCACGCATCAGGCAAAACACAGCACAAGCTCGCTCACACCTCACAGCCTCCGGAGGAAGGACTTCATCCTCCTGCCTTGCAGGTTAGGAGAGAGTGACTTCCAAACGTCAACTCAGGTACCTGAGGTCCCACAGCCAGAGCACAGTGCAGCCAGGGTGCAGCGAGGTTTGTGAGACAGGTCTGCACCACAGTGGACACGTGTGCACTCGGCACTGCGAGCTGACAGGTTCAGAGCCAAGCGGAGGCTGGGCCCGGTGCCTCATCCTGACCCCTATGTCCTGTGCCTACCACGAGCGAGTCCACTGCATGAGCTGTCAGATGGGGCTACTCCCCTGAGCTCGGGGTTCTGAGGGAAGCATGTGAGCTGAAGCCCGGCACAGAGCCAGCACTAAAGACATGGTGATGCTGGTGTTTGCTGGCAAGGTAATAGCAAGTATTTTGTCATCCTTCTAAAAACACAGCCTCCATCTTTAACGTTTCTTGACACAGGCGGGGACTTTGTGCAAACCAGTCTTGGGGGGACAAGCGTATCTGACATTTTGGTGACAACCCCTCTGCTTGTCCAAAGCATTGGGTTTCCCAAGCTAGTCCTTTGCCAGCCACTGGCTTCCCAGGAAATAACAAATAACTGGGCACACGTCCATTTTCCCCCACAGAAACCTCAGGAGCGTTCCAGAGATGGCGCAATGGCTCAGGGTGAGAAACAGGGTGTCGACAGGGAAGATGCTCCGGGTTGGGGGTTATCAGGCTGAGGAATGCTAGAGGGGAGACAGGACGGACAAACCCCCACTGGGCGAAACTCTTCCTGTGACACACACACCTGCTAGAGGACCAAGGTGGGGGACGGACGCTGCCCTGACCTGCAGACACTCACATATCATGGTGGTCCCTCCCGCGAGGGCTGCCTTGGTGCCCTGGCAGAAGTCGTCGGCTGGGGTCATGCCCAGGACGGGCATCTGCAGCCTGGTGTGGACGTCGACTCCGCCTGGCAGGACCATCAAGCCATGGGCATCAATTGTTCTGATGCCCCCAGGGACGATGAGGTTCTCTCCAATTTGTCTGAAAGCAACAAAAAGACGTCACTGGTTAGGAAGCCCAGCTCGAAACACGACCGGGATCCCCGGCAACACATGGAGCCGGGAAGTGTGCACTTGGGCTCCTGTCTTTGGAAGAGGGTCACGCGGCCAAGACTTAGCGGGACTGCTGGGGGCTGACAGAGAGCAAGACACCTTGTGAAGTGACTCAAGATGCTCAACGGGGCGGGTCCAGCCCGTGCCATGCAGCTGCTCTTGTGGTGCCCGCTGTGGTGCCCACCTGCTCTCGACTGACTAGTGGCTGGAGCTGCCTGACACAGACAAGCAGAGAAGCAAGCAGGTGTGCTCAGTAAGCATTTACTCGGCAGCCACTGTGAGCCCGAGTCATACCAAAGCTGTGACAACACCAGAACCATGCCAAGTCTGTCATCGCTGAAGGCCTGGGCTAGAGTTGTTTCCAGGGAAAGAAAAACCATTTACGTGGGTTTCACCAAGGAAGAAACGTCCCAGATAACGTGTAATCAGTGTGCACACTCACAACCTCGGGAGAGACTTCGGGTAGGAACTCACTTTATCAAACCATCTTCCACATACAGGTCAGCGTAGAAGGACTGGTCATCGTTCACGACCTTCCCACCTTTGATCAGAAGGCGGTCGCTCTATTGCAAACAAAAAGAATGGGTGTACATTTTCTCCAAACGGAGGCTCCCAACAACATCTCAGTACAGCTGCTCACTCTGGATTTATGATGGAAACATTCAGGCACCATCTGTATACACAAAACCCGACACAAAAGCCAGCAGCATTCACTGTCCCCAAGGACCAGCAAAGGCAGCTGCAGAGGAGGCAGCCCCGCCCACCCCTAAGGCCAGGCCCTCACAGCACACACCCTCACTGCACTGGCCCTCCCAGCCCTTCCATAGGGAATTGCCTCCAGGAAATCTCTCTCTCTTTCAACACACACACACACACACACACACACACACACACACACACACACACACACACACACACGACTATCACAGACTATGACAAACACAATAGCAGAAAGAGTCTGAAATGCCAGGTAAGGGGGGAGGTGTGGCTGCTTCAAGGAGAGAAGGGCCTGGCTTTGAGGGGCTGATGCTGGAGGCAACTCAGCCAGGGATAATTCCAGGCTGGAAGCCTTCCATGCAAAGGCCTTGAGGCAGGAAAGAGCTTGAGGTGATACAGGACGCGAGGAATCTGGGGGATGGAACCTTCCAGAGGTTGGGGTGAGAGGCCCAGGGACAGGTGAGGGTGAGATGTGCTGGGCTTGGGGTGTCAGTGGGCTGCCACTGGGGGGACTTCCATAGGGGTCTAAGCATGCTCTGACAGGCGTTTTAAAGCGATCGAGTTGGCTCTGCACAGAACGGAGATTGTGGTGTCCGGTGACGGGAACGGGGCCATCACTTGGGCGGTTTCTGAGGTTGTCCCGGTGACATGAGGGGCCTTGGGCCAGGGTTACCTGGCTGATGAGAGAGGGACCCAGAGAGGCTGGAAGTTGGGCAACAGGAGCTGCCGATGGAGAGGCCATGGGGTGAAGGGCCAGGAAGTCACCCAGGGACCACCGGTGGGTGCAGGAGGCACCCCAAGTGGGTGAGCAAAGCAAGAGGGAGGCCAGCTCTCCGTGGGCTATGCCCACGGCGTGGAGGTGGGCACCGGGAGGGGGCTGAGCCAGGGCTTGGTAGCCATAAACCCTTCTAAGCATCCTGCCAAACAGCTGGAGGAGGTAGGCAGGAAGTGGGTGTTGTGCGATGGCCGTCGGGTGATGGTCTGACCTCAGGGAGAATAACGGAGAAAAACATGAAAAAGCAGCAGATGAGCAGAGTGGAGAGTGATGTAGATGTTGGCCGCACTTCTGCCATCATCTTGTTTGAGCCTCAAGGCTCCCGGTGACCCCGCCAGGCAGAAATGACAGCTACACGTCATGAGGTCTGGCCCTGGTGCCCACCCTGGCTCTGTAGGCACCATCAGCCTGATGCCAGGATGACCAAGCCACGTGGGGTGGTTAGTAAGAAGGCTGAGAGGCCACCAAGAAGGTAAATAATTCATTATGTAGGCGCCCATTACGCTAGTCTCTATTCTTATGCCTCACTGCTCGGGTTGAATTCTCAGGACCTTATTGGTTAAAGGTAAAGCCACCGCCCTAGGCTACAAAACTGCAGGCCTGTCCTTACACAGCCAGGAGCTAAGAATGGTTTTACACTTTATGTTGGTTAAAAACCATCAAAAAAAGAATATTTCATGCCTCGTAAAAATGGTATGAAATTCATATTTCAGTGTCCACAGCTAAAGTTTTATTGGAACACGGTCACACCCCAAAAGCTGACAATAGCTCCTGTCTGGCCTGTTAACGAGGTTTGCTGAGTCCTGCCCAGCTCCCGGGGGCCCTGCCCGCTCACATCACCGTTACCCACGCTGCCCGGCTTCTGCAGCAGGGCCCCCGCCCCCAGTGGACCAACGGGCCCTCAAATCAGCCCAAGGAGCACTGGCCAGAACAGGAAGGCTTCAGGGAAGAGGCCTGTGCCCTATGTCCCCTGCTCGCCACCCCCTGCGCGCGCGCGCGCACACACACACGGGCACCTGGACTCCGATTCTGGGAGCCTTCCTGAGCGACATGCAGCTGGGACGGGGTGCGATGCTCAAGGTGGGGCCGGAAGTCACCCTAAACCAGCCACCTTACCTGTGACCCGCCCGTGGGACAGGGACCTCCTGTCGCTCCCACACCCCGCGCCCTGAACCTCCCGCCGGCCCGGCCGCTGGTGGCTGGCGGGCTTCCCGCACCAGGCGGGACCCCCCCAGTGGGAGGAGAGCCGGCAACCTCAGGACCCCACCGCGCGGCCGCCAAGGCCAGATTCGGAGCTGGGTTCAGAGCGCCCGCCGCCCAGCTGGAGCGCAGGCCCCGCC